TATTTTTCCAAGTTTTTATTGCAAAATATTAAAATGCATACTAAAGATCTTATGAAGTCCTATGGATATTCTTTTGAGACTAAGGCTTGAGGAAAACTGCTTTAATTATATGTTGATATATATATATAATGATACTTATTTAATCGCTTATGCATCCACAAAGTAGGAAGGTAAAAAAAACTGCAGAAAACTATTTCTTTTCTTTTTATTCCTCGTGTCTTATCAGTTTAAATGATTCTGAGCTCTATGTGCATGGGTAATAGTTTCTGTGGCGTGATGGTGTAAGTTTGGATAATTTTCTAGGACTTAATGAACTATTCAGCTCACAGTTTGTGACAGTGAAGTTCCCTGGTAGTTGATCCTGTCTCTGTTTAGAATTGATTTCACATTGAAATGTGTCTCTCGATTTCTGTTCAAAAATAGACCAGATGGAAAATGGACTTGAGCTGCATTTTTTAAGTGAGAAAATGGCTGTGCTCTAGGCCACAATGTTTATCTTTGGGAACATTTTGCAATAAAGAGAAGCTAAAATTGACATGAGGTTTCTGTGGTGCTTTTTAATGTATTATCTGTGTTTGCCATTGGGATAAAGGGAAAATAATTGTTCAAAAACAACTGCCTCATTAAGACAGTGTGAAAATTACCAGGAAAAATAAAGCACCGAGAAATAAACGTCTCATGAAAATAAAGGATCAGCATAAAGGAAAAGAAACTGAGTGGCTTACTGAAGAATAACCCCATATAATGAAAACCTTGAAGCTTTACTGAAGAACAAAAAATCTGAATCAGTTGAAGCTCATATCTTTTTGTTCAGTAGGGTGACTCGACATTATAAAAAATGTCAAGGTCTTTTATACTGATCTATAAATCAGATATAATCCTAACTTAAAAATAACTAATAATGATTTGAGAGAACTTGAGTAAATAATTCTAAAGTTCACGTGGAATAATGCATATTTAAAAATACCCAAGATTGTTCTGAACAAGGTACTAATCTGAGGAAGTAGCATGGCAAAAAGCAGTATTAAAACACTCAAGCTGGGCAGGGTGCTACGCCTGTAATCCTAGCACTCAGGAGGATGAGACAGGAAGATCGCCATGAGTTAGAGGGCAGTCTGGGCTCCATAGTGAGTTCACGGCCAGTCTAAACTACATAGCGAGATCCTGCCTCAAAAAATAAATCAATAAATAAAACGCTCAGCCCAATAATACAAACGCTACCACACTGACATGCAAGTAAACAGACTTTCAGTATAACATAACAGAAGGACTGGGGCTAAGTCAGCATATGGCAATTCCATACATGAAAAAGAACATTGCAGAATAGACAGGTAACGACTAGTACTGTATATGATCTAGCTCCAGACCAGTTGGTTAGTGAGAGAAAAAATTAGAGCCTCTAACTCATTTATTACATTAAAATAAACTGCCTATATTAAATGCAAAGGTAAGATCAAACAAGTACTGAACTAGAAAAACATGTAAGTAAGTGCTTGATCTTGGGCTGGGGAAGCTATACTAAATATACAGGAAAAAGGGGGAAACAAAAACTGATAGACTGGATTAATAAACCTTGAGAAATTTTCCCCAATAGTCTATTAAACAGGATTAAAAGAAAACTGATCAACCATATTAACATATAAATATATATAGCATCCTAAATATAGTATTTAAAATAGTTATTAGTCATTAACTGAAAGTTAAATGTTCCAGCACACTGATCAAAGGGCATAAATGTGCTAGGTAATTTGTAAAAGAACAATTACTCATAACTAATAAACACATCTCTCAAGAACCTGAAAGTGCAAATTAGAATAATCACATTTCATCTGAACCTCAACACACTGGCAAAGAGAAACTAAAATGATAGAATTTAGTAAGAACAGAAATAATAAGCTCTCTAAAATATTGCTGGTCTATAACAAGAAATTAGACAGCAAAAGAAGCTTCTTTAGCCTGAGGAAAGAATTCAGAAGGTGAACAGGACCATATGTACAAACATACCCTTTTACACCAGCAAAAAATATGCCAAGCATGAGGTACTTGTTAAAGAAATGATGGTATTTTAATAGCTACATCATATTTCACAGTGTATATAAATATGATGTAGCTATTAAAATGTTACAGAAGCATACTTACTGATATGGCAAAACGTGTAACACTGTTCAAATAATACTGTAAACCTATAAGATTCTAATGTTATTTCAGAAAAAGAAATGCAGTATATTACTATACATGTACAGAAAAAAGTGGAATGCTATACATCAAATGTGAAAATTGGGGCTGGGATTTAGCTCAGCGGCAAAAGCGCCTGCCTGGCAAGCGCAAGGTCGTGAGTTTGGTTCCCGGTACCAGAGAAAAACCCCCAAAAAACAAACAAACAAACAAATGTGAAAATTCTTAGTACATTGGCAAGGATGTGGAATACAGGGAACCCTCACACTAAAGTGATAAGAATGTAAATTAGTACAGCCGTTATGGAAAATAGTATGGAAGTTCTTTAAATAATTAAAAGTAGCACTATCGTTTGATCTAGCAATTATGTCAAAGAGACATCTGTACTCCCATATTTACTGCAGCCCTATTCACAATATCTAATAAATGGCAACACTTAACTGTCCATCAACTGATGAATCAATGGAGAAATAAAATGTGGTACATATACATAACGGAATCCTATTCAGTTATATAAAAGGGATGAAATGCTGTTATTTGTGATAACATAGGTGGAACTGTAGGTCATTACGTTAAGTGAAATAATCCTGGCACTGGGAGACAAGTACTACATGGTCTCACTCATATTGGAATATAATAAGCTGATCTCAAGGAAGTTGAGAGTAGAATGGGGGTCACCAGATGCTCGGGAGAGTAAGGGTCAGAGGAGAAGTATGAAGAAATGGGTCAGGGGATACTACCGTAAGGATTAGCTCAGTAGGAGAAATTTGGGCTGCTGCTGTAGGGTGAGTACAGGTAATGATAAGTACTATATATTTCAAGAAGCTAGAAAAAAAAGTTTTCATTTGTGTTTCTACCACAAAGAAATGATGAACATTTGAGGAGATAGAGATACTTAACCTGATTTGAACATTACACAATGAATATATACATCAAAACATCACATGGTACTCATAAATATGTGTAATTTTTAGATGTCAGTTGAAAATACATTTTAAAAATCAGTGAGACAGGGGCTGGGAATTTAGCTCAGCGGCAAAGCGCCTGCCTGGCAAGCGCAAGGTCGTGAGTTCGGTTCCTGGTACCGGAGAAAAACCAAAAAAAAAAAACTGTGAGACTGGGTGGTGGTATTACAGATAAATTTAATTTTCTTACTGGTTTTCTATACATGCCAAATTTCTATAATAAAAATATGTTGCAGACAAGTGTAGTGGAACATACCTATAATTCCAGCTACTCAGAAGGCAGAGTCAGGAGCAAGGCAAGCCTGAGACAAGATTGGGCAATTTAGAAAATCCTGTCTTAAAATAAAAAATAAAAAAGGACTGGGGATTTAGCTCAATGACAGAGTGTTTGCCCTGTGTTCAATCCCTAGTACTGCAGAAGCAAACAAAAAACCTGTTATCTACCAGAACTCCCTCCCTCTATAATTAGTACACATTTAAAAAGTTATAAAGTAGCCCACCACTTTAAATTCTCACAGAATTGAAAAAGTATGACATACATTTTCAGTTTATAAGATGAAACATTTGTTTCCTTTTATACCCTGCAGTAGGCAATCAGTGGGTTGATTAGCATGGTACAAATTTTAAATTCTCCCTGCTATACAAAGCAAACTGACATTAGCACTTTATTGTAATATCACTTGTTCGAAAAGAAATCTTACTAGTAAAATAATTAGTAACAAAGGAAGGTAATTAATAGAGCAATAAAAGTTGTTAGGAGTTATCGACAGGTTTGGGGTGATTTTTTGAGTTACTGGAGCAGAGAGCACAGTGAATGTCTCTGGACTCAAAGCTCATCTTGGCCTGGGAAGCTAGAGTTTGGACTGCCAGGAACAAGGGTACAGGCTGCCACATTTGCAGGGAGTAAGGTGCTCTGTATGCACCTCTGCACATGAACCAGTTTCTAAAAGGGACCATTGACCTGAAGGATTAAAGCAACAATGTAGTGCAGTGCTCTTCCCCGAATGGAATGAAGCACAACCCTAACTATGTCAGGGACACTTGCTGCATTTCACTGTAGAGCCAGAATGAAACAGCAACATGGAAGTTTAGTACTAGCAACATAAAACGGCAGACTTTGTGCAAAGGCCTAGGGAGAGAGTGGCTAGGGTGCCCCACAGGTAGTGGGGAGATCAGTGTGTTTGCAAGGACTATACTTGCTTGCTTACTTGTGAGATGAGAAGCCGTTGGACAGTAGTGAGCAGGGGAATGAAATGATCTAGAAGTTTCTAGAAGACTCATTCTGCTGGAGCTGGGACCAGTCATAGCCCAGCCCTGAAGTGTTCTCAATAGCACTTAATCAAATGAAAGACTCATAAAGGGGCACACAGCTTTGACTTTTTAACCCAGCAATCTCCCTGCTCGACCACAGATTTGTTCAAATCTGATGTCTGGTGTCATCCTAAACCTCAGCACTGAAGATTTCATGTCTAAATCTGACAGTGGTAATCATTAGAATACACTGACTAATTTTTATTATATCAATATTACTGAACCATGTGAATTTTAAAAATTGAAATGACTTTAAAACTTAAATAGGTTCTACTCGGTTTGACTTGGCCTGAGTCTAAATCAATTAACCTATTTAAAACGCTAGTTTGTCCTATTATTCATAAAAATAAGAGACTATTAAAGTAAAAAAAAAAATAATGTTTGCGTACTGTGTAAAAGCACTTCATACATTAGTATACACACCCTCTCTTCTGGGAGACACTATGTTAAACAAAGAAGAATCTGGTATGACACACATGCTAATGGCAAGAGGTCAACCTGGGCCCCAGTGAGAGTGTAAGAGTGTGCACGTAGCTTTGGAGGGCCAACCTGAAGCACTGTAGCCGCAGTCCTTGGGCAAATCGGCCGGCCTGGTACTCCTGTCCATCCATTAATGATGGGATCGTCCCTGTGTCCTGCACAATGACAGCCATCTCACTGTCACGCTTCCCCAGCATACTTCGGTCATTTATGTTGGCAGAGCCTGTAAGGAGGAATGATAAAACTGAACAACCGTCCTGCTGTGACAGACACTTGGCTGTCCTCCACACTCCATGCTCCCTTGCTAATAAAACACGAATTTTGTTCAAGACATTAAGGGAAGCCCTACGTAACCCGGGGTGAATCTGGGTCAGTCTAAGCCAGCCATGGTAATTTCATTATTTGTACTACTGATTGGTTGAGAAATTGGCACTGGTGTGGTTCTGGCCAATGCAACCTGATGAAAACTATGTGGAGGGTTTCTGAAAAAGTTTGAGGAAGTCTGAGAAGGTTTTTCTTCCCTGTATAAAACAGCAGAAGAGACAAATGCTGTCCTACTCAGCCTTTGGCTATTGAGTTGAAAGGTTGGAAGGAGACATAATTCTGGGAGTGGTTGCAGCCATTTTTCAAACACAAAGGAACACGCAGACATGCTGAAGCTGGAGAACAGAAAGAAGCAAGATTTTAGATCCTTAGTCAACCTTAGAATTTCCTGTTATATGAAATAATACATTTTTCCTGTTGCAGAGCTTTCTATATGTGGCTCAAATTACTCCAATTGATACAACCACAAAGTACTTTGAGAAGAAAGATATGCCGACCAGCTCAGTACATAAGACGGCTTTGCTTTTGGAGTTAAAAATCAGATTCTCCACAGACTTTACCTCATAGTCATATAATTATGAATGTTAAAACCCAAGCGTGCCTTCACAGTCACCCAGAGTCTAATCTTAAATGCAGGCTGTGGGGCCGGTGCTACAGACTTTCCACTGTCTCGCCACACCCGTGTGGCATGCCGACAGCTTCTCTATCAGCTTCCCTCCACTCTATTTTTAAATCCAAATGAGCCGAGAATGTTGACTTTCACATGCGAAGGGCAAATCTTTTCATATGGTTCAACTTGAGCTTTCTGCAGTCCTCTGCAGTGAGTTCAGAAACCCCAGCACACTTTCTGCATTAATTGTTGCAGATCTGTGCTTCTGAATCCTTGAGATGTCCTACAAACTACAGAAGCGGTTCAGCTGACTTTTTCTTCTTGTTTCTCTTGCCCTAGCTGCCATACTCTGCTGTGTCAGCAAATGTGCAGCAGAAGGGTCAGGTTTAACACTCTAGGCCCCCGTGACTGGGGCAGCCAGAGCAGTAAGGTGACATCAGCCGTGCTCTGGGCCCAATAGGTGGAGTTTTGTGCATGGGAGAAAGGTGCCCTTCCCTCAAGAGACTTAGCTGCCACCTACCCGAGTACTGGCATGGAGTTGATGACTATGGGTGTGAGTGGTAGCCCTCAGTAAGTATTGAGTGCCCTGTAGAAATTTGGGGGTGCTATTTAAGTACTATAAGGCAGAAACCTTTCAAACATTCAGACTAACAAGTAGTACATCATCCTTTATTCATAGACTTCCATTTGCAATAATTGGGCAAGTCATTTAGTCTTTCTCAGCTTTTATTTGAGCTCTCATAAACTGAGATAATGATACGGACCTACATAGGGGTGAAAGCACTTACTGATGTATGAGCTGCTCTACAAATGTTACTCTTTAGCATTAGTATCAGCTACCCGGAATAGCTGCACCAGAGCCCAATGCCAGAGGAAGGGAAGATCTGCTCACTAAAGCTTCCTCTCTGGTTGGTTTAATCACTCTCCTCCCACCTCATGCAGGTGTGCAAATCATAAGGACACCAGAAATAAAGCTGGCATTGTGCTACTTGAGGACTTCACTATCCTCCTGTCCCAGGCAAAGGCTGTTCGTGGGCTGGGGCTACATCGCTGCTCTGTTCACTGTCAGGAAACTGGAATGTGAGCCAGCAGGAAAACTCCCACCACACACACACACACACACACACACACACACACACACACTGGTCCCTGTTATGGTTTGTGTCTGGTGTCCCCGCAAAGCCTCATGCTCATGCGGTCATGGGGCAGGCTTTTAGAGGTTGATTGATTATGGGTGTGAGAGCTACACCCGCCCTGGGGTGGGTAGTTTGCATATGTAAGGGAGAGCAAGAGGCTGCTTGCAGCCATTCCTCCCTTTTAGTGCTTGTTGCTTTTGCTGTGTTCTGCCGCTGTGAGCTGTAGCCCTCTGCCATGTGCTACTCTGCCTTGCAATGTGCCAAGTACGGACTGAAACCTCCAAAAACTGTAAGCAAAATAAACCTTTCCTTCCTTACATTTGGGCGTCAGGTATTTTGTCCCAGCAAGGAGAGAAAAGTAACCTAGACAGTCCCCAAGGCCCCTCCCAACACAGTGGGGCCCAATACTCCCTGGGATAGGAATACATTCCCGACATTGTGAGATAAGGTTTGGTTCTTGTACTTGCAGAGTTGATCTGGAGTTACTCACAGCACTACTCTCAACTATATTAGATAGATGAGTGGATTAAAAGGAAAAATTTTAGAGGAGCTTAATAAATGTGACACTGACAAAAAGATATGGATGGATGTAAGTGCTGTGTCTAGTTTATGGTTAAATAGTCCCATACACTAAAAATAAAATTCAGAACAGGAGGAACTGTATTTGGGCATGTACTCATCTCTGTGTAATATACACAAATGAGGAGAGTGCAGAGGACCTAGAAAGATGCACAGTGAATTGTTAAAGGTGCTGAAGGCAGTGGGTTCTTCTGGGGAAGAGATGACATTTTACTCTCTACGTTCTTAGTGTCTGAATTATTTCATAGCAAGTATGCCCTGAGTTCTTTTATTATTTTTATGGCAACTATAGCCCCTTGTATTAGGATGTTGCCATTTTAAAATCACTTAATTTTTAGAAAACCTTCTTTTCTGAGTCCTCCATTAGAAAACTTAAAATGTTTTTAAGAGCAAAAGACAAGAGTATATGAAAACATAATATGTGCAACTTAAGCAATGCTAACATAGATATCACCGAATCCATCACCCGGCTGAAAACATCATCACATCCCAGAAGCCTCCGCACACCATATCTAGAACTCTTAGCTCTGACTACACATAGACATGTACCTAGGACTTAAAAAAGAAATACTGAGGCCAAAAGCTAGAACAGCTCCCTTTCCTACCATGCCTGAGCCTGAACCAGACCAGTTAGGTAAACATTATTGGAAGTAGAAAGTAAGCTCTGGTATATTGCTGTGTCCCTGTGTCTATCATCTATCCATCCATTTGATTTGGTTTGGGTTTTGATCCATTTTAAAGTGCACTGCAGATATTTTAAAGTTTCCTGGGTGATTCTAACACAGCAAAGATAAAACCCACAGGACTAGATCTTTGAAAAATTAATATAATCCCTCTTCACTGGGGCAGCCCTCCAACTACAGGTCCTCATATGCCACTCTCTAGCCTGCCCTTCAAAAATGGGTATTCATGATCTATGCATAGCATCCCCACCTTCCCATACTTGGCGATCATCTCTGGACCTCCCAGCTGCAGCCCTGCAAGAACCATCCCAGTGCTTCTGACGTTAAAGGGAAGATATGACTGCTTTTGCTCTAGCCCGCAGCACTGTGAGGGGAACTTTGCTATTTTATCCATCTGTGCTTTGCAGTGAATTAGTGAACACTAAAAAACAATTATTTTATCAACAACATAGCCTTAAATTCTACATAAGGGAGAGCCTTGCTTTGGTTAGGAGAGCACACAAATGTTAGTTTATGTGCCAAAATAAAAGTGAATGAGCAAAGTGGATATGGTCTGAGATCTCATGACCAGGAGGATTATCAAGGTCTATAAATAAAGAAAAATATATACAAAAGAGATCTTCAATGCATAAAAAATAAATCTTTTCTCATGAAGGAAAGAAATAGAGAAATAAGATTAGCCATTTTTCTTATGTTGGTTATTCAATAACTCTGGTATAAGTTTACCATCTGAGAAAAATTAATTATTAGTTACTTTAACCTCCTTTACATTTTTAAATACTTGTTTAAAATCTATCAAATATGCTCAGCCTAACTTCTTAAGCTTTTCTTTGAGAATTTTAAATATCATTCCCTGTAGTATGAACTTAAACGGGTTGACATGTCATAGAAACAACAAACGGGAAAGTTTCCACTGAGATAAAATAAAGGACCTTTGGATTTCTCCTGGGGAGAAATCTATTCTTTATGACACAATGCTCTTATGGAAGGAAAAAAGAAACCCAGCTTCTGAGGCCAGCAAGCAAGACCGCTTCACAGTCCCATGGCCACATCTTCGGTTTCAAGAGAGTGGATAAAAATTCTAAACAAAATTGATCAATTATTGCCAGCTTAAATAAGCCATAACCTTCAATGACTCAAAGACCATTCTAGAAAATAAGTCAATTAAAACCCCCAAAAAACCTATTTAACTGTTAGATCTGTTACTGAGTACTAATTTGCATTTATACTCTATGTAAAGAAGGCTGAAAGTCAAAGTGACTTTTCAAAGGAAAATATTTACATCTGTCAATTTTTACTTCAAGAGTTCTGAAATCTTCCTGAAGAGATCAACTGAATTTTACTTGGCTTTGTTTATTTTTCCATTTCAGCAAACATCAATATTTTTCCCTTCCTGCTGTTATTGCCAAATTTAATATAAAAATATTCTGAGGTTAGCTTTGAAGAACAAGGCCAGAATAGCTGGGGGAGGGGATCAGAGAAACCTTGAGTATTGAGGGAAAAGGGGAAGTAGGTAAACTCCTAAGGAGCTACAATGCCTGGGGAGCAACAGACTGGAGAACAAGGTGTTTTTCTTAAATGCCCTGTACAAATAGCAAAGAATCAATCTATCCAACCCCCACTCTCTCTGTCTACACACACACACACACACACACACGTACACACATACACACTGTGGTCCATACATTCTGGCTTCAGAACTCCTTTTCAAACTATATTCGAGATAAGACTCTAAGTATTCCTAGGTATTAAATTTTTTCTTTGCTCCATGAAGGATAGAGATGGAAGAGGCATAGAAGCTGCCAAAAAAAAATTCAAAACACTTTGTGACATTTAACTTCTTAAAGACTATGGAATTATTTTATTGTAGCTAAGAAACTGCATTTTATTTAAAACAAAGGAGCGGACTCCTCAATAGTGGGACATACCCTGTCTCAGAGTAACATGCACCTACATTCATCAGTTCATTTATCTGGCTGGTTATTAACTCTTTGTTTCTCAACCTTACCTTCCTGTATTCATGTACCATAATATTAAAAGGCAAAACAACTCAATGATAGTAAAATTAAGCTTCTGGTGTGTATGAGAATGAAGATGAAAATCCATCACTCTGGCCAAATAGATCTAATATGGATAGAAAGTAAAACCAGTAAATTCTGAACCTATCAGTGGGAAGAAGTCTTTGGAGAAATCCACTGTGTGTCTTTGATAAGAAAAAGCTATGAACTTTAGTGTAGGGTTCATCCTATCATTAATATACAACCCATTTCACAGCCCCATACACACCAACAAAGCTACCCTGCTTGCCCCTTGGTTAACAACACTCAAAACACAGACATTAAGAAAAATAATGATAAGCATACAGGCAGCAATGCATTAATAAGAGGACCTTGGCTTTTAAATAACTTCAGATCTCTGGTAACGATTAGGTGGATGTGTTGTGAACATATGCAGATTAGTAGAAGATACTCTTTTATGACACTTTCCCTCCATATTTTTCCCCTTCTAATCCCAGGAATTGAAGGACTAGGATTCAAAATAAGAATGACAAGCACTATTTCTTATTATAATAATATTATCACTTAATAATATTATTTATAGTATAAATACTATTTATCAATAGAGAATGAGTGAGATCAGGCAGATTGTCAGACTGCTACGTTAAACCACTGCTTTTCGAACGGTGTAATTTGCAACAGGTCAGTTTTCTGCTCTGTATCTTTGACTTTTTTATACATAAAATCAGATTAAAAAGGATGCAAGGAAAATGATTGCTTCAGAAATGTTTTAGATATTGCCTTAACTCTTTCTCTCAACTACAAAGAAAGCAGGGGCAGAATAAGGAGGAAAAATGGGCTTGAGATAAGTCAACTGGCAAGGAACACAATTACAGACCACATACTTACCAATAATAACAGTGTTATCATCAGCAATTAACAACTTGCTGTGGACATAGATAAGCTCAGTGACTAGGTTTCCTTCAAGCTCTGCATGTGTCCTAAGACCACAGAATGAAATGTAATTTATCCACTGATTACCAACTGTAAATTAAAAAAGAAATTACTAAAATTAATACGATCATGCTCAAAAAGGCACTTTAAATTTTATTGTTTTCACCCAGGAACTATTTTGGCTGTCTGCAGATTAATCTGGATGCCTATACACTTTTCAAAAATCATGCTAAAGTGCTTGCTCTCTTCCCATTGGTGAGACACTCCAAATATGTACTCAAATATAAACCTTAAAAATTATTTGGTAGGTAACTACTGAAGAGTAATGGCTAAAACTGGTTAAAGCAGAATATGTACTATTTCACTGCGACACTTGCTTCTGTCTCAGTTGACACCTGTTGCAAGGTGCATACCCAGAACCCCCGAAGCACACACAATCTGTAGCACGTTTAAAACCAAACACCAGTTAAATGTACTTTGGATAAATATACATGTTGGTAACTTTAAAACCCTCCCCCTACTACAGCCTTAAAATTAGTAAATGAAAGAATCCTTGCTACACTTGGTTTGGGGGAACTTTCTTCAGAGCAGTGTACTTTAAAATGCTGTCCTCTCATTCTTCATGATTGTCATTCATGTTGGAATAAATGCACTCCATACCAAGCCAACCAATAATTGTTACCCTAACATGAATGTTAATATAAGATTTTATGGTCTCTCTTCCACATAGCAATTGTCTTGATAAGCAAAGTCTAATACTAAGAATAAATGGACTGGAACCGAACCGTCACAAATTCTAATAGAGAGCGTAAGTCTATATTTTTTTCTTTAAGAGAATGTGAAGCTAGTAATAGAACCAGTGGTAATTCATGCGCTCCACTTATGGAAATTTCCACCTACTGTTGATGTTTTCTATTTTACTATTGATGCCATTCAGTGTTTCTAATAAGTCTGAACACCTTAGAAAGAATTCATTCATAGTTTAGAGATTCCTCCATTTACAGATCTACTTTCCTTTATATACTGGAGTAATCTTAGATAGCTGTGTTTGATGAGTTGATGTGTTGATGTCCTAATGCATCATGTGTAAGAGAGGAATTTCTAAAACTGATATTGTTGCAAATCACTATCTTTCACTGCATGTTAATACATTGGGGAAATGCTTTGCCCAAAGCATCTTTGCCTCTTTAAAGTGTTCTAAGGTCCAAAAGAGAGGAATACTTCTTCTTTGAAGCCCCTCATCCCCATATAATTCCTGGAAAATATTTCTACTGCAATGCTTAATTTTTACAAATATTTATATAATCTTCCATTTCTCCTACAACAGTACAGGGACTGGTCTTATATATCTTGGTATCTTCATCCTTCCACAGTGCTTAAAAAATTTGAATAAATGAATGAATCAATGGCTGAATATCAAGTGGCAGATAAGGTTTCGGTCTTTAAGTTTCTTGTACAATCTATAATCAGCTTGTCAACTATAAATTACAAATTTAAGACTCAAAGTAGCATTCTAAAGGAACCATGGAGCAAGCCTTTCACTGAAATAAATATTTTATGTAATAATTTCCCATCTACACTGAGTAATTAGTAAACCTAAAAGCAGATTCCTGTGACATTGCCCAGAATTCTGATTTATCAGAAATCATTCAGTAAGTACCTCAGGGGATAATGTCTTTGAACAACACAGCCATAGAGCTTTGGTATTTGGGGATTTAAGACTAGTTATACACATGAAGGAAAACAATACACCATGAGCAAGTAAGATGGATTCCAGATATGCAAGTGTCTTGCTAAAAAAAATATGAGGAAATGCATTAATTTAAGACATCCTATTGACCAATTTAGGAGGAAGAATCCTATGGCTGTCTCAATAAATGCTGAAAAACTTTTGACACAATTATGCATCTATTTCTCATAAAAACATTGAAGAAAGTAGGAATTTACAAATAATTAATATGCTTAAAATGTATAACCCATAGTATGTATATATAATATTTGTATACATGTAATTAATATAATTAATTTAATCTTGGATGCATTAGCCAATATAATTATAAATAAATCACACAAGAAGTAAAGCCACCTCCATTTTCAGACACTATGATAGAAACCTGAAAAATCAATGACAAAATTATTGCATATAATAAAAGAATTAAATATGATAAAAATATAAATTCATACATAGAAATTAATAGTGTTCATATATATAGATGATAACCATTTACAGAATTACAGACAGAACTGCATTTACACTGGCAACTAAGATAAAATATTTAAACTTAACAATATGTGAGAAAGTTTATAAAGAAAAATGTAAAACACAATCAAGACGTAAATGTAGACAAAAGAAAGACACCCTTTGTTCAGAAATAGAATAACATTAAAAAGAAATCAACTTTCCCCAGGTTAATTTATAAATGTAATATGATCTCAATAAAAATACCAACACATTTTTATGGAATTAGATAACCTGATATTGCAATTCATATGAAAAAATAAACATGCAAGAATAACTAGGAAAAACTATGAAGAGGCATTAGTCTTGTCCGATATTAATACATGCTATGAAGTCTGTATCATTAAAACAGTGCAGAACTGGCACATCAACAGATAAGCCAATGACTGGAAGAGAAAGTCAAAAAATATAACAAAGTATATATAGAAGTTTTATATATGATTGAGGCTTAGTCAAGTGACTAGGACAAGGACTTTAAAATAAAAGTTGCTAGCGCAATTGCATAACCACTTGAAAAAAGTAAAACTCCAAGACCTTATCAAGAATAAACTCCAAACATATCAGAGATAGAAGTGTAAGCAAATGAAATCAAAGATATATTAAAAGAAAATGAGAGTGAATCCCTCTATAACCGAAGTGTAGAGAAGTCTTTGTAACCATCCAGAGGCAATAAAAGGTTGATAAAGTTGACTAGATTTTAAAAAACAACACATTTTCATGATAAACAGCACAAGCAAACTAAATGCAAAATATAAACTGGGAGAAAGATTTGCAATATATAACACAGATAAATTGTTAAGGGTTTATTAATTATAAATTCTTTATACTATATGGATTCTTAATAATCGAAGGGAAAAATTGATCTTGATGAGCAAGAAACATGAATAGACAATTCATACACAAAAGATTCACTTGTAAAGACATTTATCCTTGCAATAATCAAAATGCAAATTAAATTGAGAAGCCATTTCTTATCTAAAGAAATCGTTTGCTTTTACTAAAAGTAAAACATAGGACAAGCACATTGTGAATACCCTGAATATATACCTCCAATAGATAAGAACACATAGGCACAGTGTCATTCATTGTCTAATTCTAACCCTGAAGTATGTAATTGTTTATAATTGAAAATAACCTAAATGCTCATATAGAGCAGAGGGACGGAATGAACTGCCAAGTCCACATCTGGAAGATGCTACAGCAGTATACAGAAAGGAAGCTCTCTACAGACTGACATGGAGTGATTTCCAGGACAGATTGTGAAATGAAAAAAGCAAAGTGACAAGAGAATGTGTGGTATACTATCTTTGTGAAAGAAATCAGGGGAAATAAGAAAATATACGTGGATCTACTCATCTGTGCAAAAAGAAAGACAAAAAAAAATCTAGCAACTGATAAAATTGGTTACCAATGGGCATGGGTGGGAACAGAGTTGGGTAGAAACTAAACTTATAGGGGAGTGGCATTTATTTAACATATATTTTGTGTACTTTTGATTATTAAAAGCATATTTCACATATTAAAAAGAAAAGTCTCAAAAGAATAGGAAAAAATATAAAATGGAATATAAACTGAAGCAAATTAACCTAACTGTATTTTAAACCAATAACAATCTAAGTAACTTTTTCTCACAGACATTAGTCTTAAAACAAAGATAACTATAAACAGACATTATAATAAGTACATTTATTTTTCATAGCATATAGACTACTAATTGTAGAACTAATTCTGTATATTCTGAGCTGGAGGAAATATGCAAATATGCTGTGGGAAATAGGAGCCACATTTCCCACTATACAGGAAAGGAGTTATAAAAGTAGAAATAATGATGGCAACAAGGAATACTGTGGGGTGGAACTGGAACTGGAGGTGTCAATATGGAAGGAGTTATGTCATCAAAATCAGTACTGCATAGTACCTCCGTTTATGAACAAACTTGGTTCGCAAACAGAAGCATTTGGCAAATTTTGTTTTTGTTTGCAAACTCTACAAACACAACTGTGGCCATCTTTCCCACACAAACACAGAGGTGGCCATCTTTGTCAAAATTGTAAAACAAATTAAGTTTGTGAACTGAGGTACCACTGCAAAATTAACTTTGATATAACACTATTATCTAGGGAGGGAGGAGAGACGGGAACAGAGAGGGAGGGAGGGAGGGAAGAAGGAACAAAGGAAGGAAAGAAGGAAGGAAGGAAGGAAAGAAGGAAACATTATTAGTATATGCTAAAATCAGCAGGCTCAATGAGAAGCAAGATATTTATGTAGACTCAAAGTGTTTTCTCAAAAAATACTAAGAACAGAGTGAAAACAGGAACTGTGACAGAGAATGCCAGAAGGAATATATATAGGTACATATCTATAGCTATATCTATATGTATATAGATATAGACGTAGATACACAGAAAGGACTTAAAATAGTGGTATTCCAATAGCAATGATCATTCCTAGCACTAAGATTTTGGTTTCTAAATACCATTTTTATTAAAAGGATCTAGGTTCCTTGGAGAAATAGCTGATTTCAAGGTCAGTGCTGGGAAAGTACAAATCTGGAACACCTTATTGTACCAGTGAAAAACAAAGGCCCAGGAGACAAGTCAAAAGATACAAAGCCCTCAGTCTTGGGCAAACTGAATGTCAAAATCACAACCTACTCAATAAACTAAGGATTGATAAGCTCAGACTAATACAAATGAATAAATACATGAAGAAGGGAAAATTTTCCTTACATTAGAATTTCAACTAATTAATTTAAAAGAAACTAATAAATACAGAAGAAATGGAATTAGAAAGTCAACATGGTAAATATCATACATAATGGAGTCAGAGGAGGATTATTAGTATATGCTAA